CTGCCCAGATTGTTGTTGCTGATGAGGATTTAAGTTTGAAAAATTCATCTTAACATTCTCCTGATGATGAAATGGCATACTAGTTCTGTTAATTGGATCCCTGGGCAGATTCATGTGAAATGTTTTCATTATTTTCAAATTAAAATCTAACTTCTTAATTCTTATAATTTGAAAAAAAACATGTTTTACTTTATTTAAATGCCTTATATTGAAATCTTGTCAAAATAAATACTTTCAAAAAACATTTAACTACCGATCACGTAAACAATTGTAATTTTAATTATCTACATATAACTTTTAATAATATTTACTAAAACAAATATTTTTTCAAAATATAGAATTAAAAGATAAATTATAAATTTCCTAAATTGGAGTAGCATATTTAAACTTCATTTGTCCTAAACGATGGAGGTCATCCACAAAGTTGATCCTATGCACCTTATTACCTCAAATTTCACCTCATTTTGAAATTTAATTTATCACACTTAATACATATCTATTAGTAAAAATTGGTGTGACGAAGTAGATGAATTTTTATGTATGTATATAAACCAATAGATGGTTCTGTACCAAATACTTAGTATTATTTTATAAGTAATATATGTATTAATATTTTTTATATAATTAAACATGCTCATTTTTTGTGTGCAAAATTTATTCTCAAAAACAAACTAACAATGTTATGTAGTAAGATATTTTAGATATTTATTATATAAAATATCATATTTTAAACGGTTGGTTACTTAACCACATTTTTAGGTAAGGTGGTTATTTTTATTTTGGCTTATAAATACAATGACAGGGTCAAAGTCCAGGTACGTTCTCTTTATGCTCTAGAGACTCTAGAATAATATCTCAGAGCAGTACCATAATTACTCTATGGAGAGCTGAGGCTCCATAATTCACATCTGACTTGAGCGTCGGAGTATCTTTGCAGGTACCTCCCCCTCCTTTGGCAAGTATGAAGACCAACAATTGGAGAAGAGCAAGCGTCCCAGACAGCGTCCCAGACAGCGTCCCAGACAGCCAGGAGCAATAAAGACACACCGGACAAATGTACACCGAAACATTTTGGCGCCCACCGTGGGGCCGAGTGACATCCTGTAGAAGTCACAAGTGGAGCTTCGGCCTCAACTAATCACTTCTCCGGATAAAGCTACTCTAACAAGATGGAACTGCCGCATCGCCGCAAGGATTCTCTCCCTGAGCCATTAGCGCTACTGTAAGCACCGTTTGCGAAATTGTGCCTCTTTACGGGTCAGACCCAGTGCCGAGAACGCCTCCAGACCAAGTCCATCCATCAGCCTCCGTCACGCTAATCCTACGGCAGTGATGGAGACCACCGAACTCCTATCCACGATGCGTCTCAAACAAGAACCACCCACACCAGCACTTCTCCTTTCTCGCGTGCGAGGTTCTCTCCGCACCGCGTCTTCGCCATCTGAAGGAGCCCAACCATCGCGGGTTGCGGCAGATGCCACCAAGCCAGGGCCATATTTCCGTTATCTCCGTTATTGTCCCTTCATCACTTGGAAGCAATGGAGCCCATATTTCCCGACATGGACAGAGTACAGGCTTTGTAACATCTTGGTGTCGCTGCAAATGTAGATCCTGCCAGTATCCTGCAGCAAACCGTCTGCTATGATCAGTCAAATTCTTTGATTTTCTCTGTTTCTTGGGGTTTTGCTATCCAAGTTTATCAAGGAAATGAACTTGTACCTGACCTCCTTTCGGTGCAGAGAACTTTTGTTCCATGGAGGAGAGGTAGTAAAGTCAATGCCAATTTCATGTTTAACACCAGAGACTATCTCAGAGATCCTTGTAAAAGGCCTTCAGTATTTTTCTTGAAAAGCGCGACATCTCATAAGGATACAGAGGTACACGAGAAATCCCTAATTTCCCAATTTTCACAAACCCCAATCCCCAACGAGAAAAACTCTGACCAAGATCGCACAATCCGCAAACCGAAAACCCTAAATTCCCCAACTCGGGGACAACCATTTCGCGCCTCCGAGAAAACCGCATTGTCAGACCCATTCTCCTTCACTCTGTCGCAAGACTCTCGCTCCAACCCACGCGTCATTCATTTGGCCTCCACGTCATCCAACCCAATTTCTATTCCTCAAATAACTCCAGCGTTCGCCCGACCCCCCTTTCGGCTCGAGGACGCAATCGACAATCAGCTATGTACGAGCGTCCAAACGCGGCCTCACATCCCACTTGAACGCTCGAACAATCAACTGTGTATGAGCGTCTGTCGGTCGTTCGGCCTCGTAACGAGCGCTCTGACATTCGAGCGTCACGATCGTTCGAACCAACTGATGATAAGACATCCGGCGACAAAGACGTTCGTCCTCAAATATCCAACAATTACTGTGAACGAGCGTTCAAGCAATCTGGCCGTTCGGCCTCGACCATTGGATTCGAACGCTCGACAATCAATGTGGACGAGCGTTCAAAACAGTAGATCGCTCGGCCTCGCCTACGTAGACGAACGCTCGACAATCAATATGTGGACGAGCGTTCGTCAATCCATTTCAACGAGCGCTCTCCACCACTTCACGAGCGCTCGTCAATCCATTTCAAACGAGCGCTCTCCATGCCATTTCAAACGAGCGCTCTTCATCCACCTTCAAACGAGCGCGGGGGGTTGTCATCCACTTCAACGAGCGTTCAACAAAGTATGTGTCGAGCGTGGGCAAGCAACCTCACGCTCAAGGGTGGCGGGCGTGGAGACGGGGGGGGGGGTGTCAAAACTGGCCCCTCGTGCTGGTGTGGCATGGGGGGGGGGGGGGGGGGGGGGGGCCCCTCGATCCTCCAACCTCGTCACTTCTGTCCCCCTACTTTCGTCCAACCCCCTCCACAACTTTCGTGCCACTCGGATCCACATGCTTTCGCCCAACCATTCACTAAACATGATGCTCGCACACTAGTCCTCAATGAACGTTTCTGCATTTGTTTCAACCGTTTCGACATCTTGGTTTCAACCATTTTCTGCCATCGCTTAAACAAAACGCTCGGATTTTCCATAGGAACGTTCGGTCATTCGGACTCGCTTGCTTCCGGTCAATCAATCTCTTTGACGTACCGCCTCCAAGCGTCCAGCATTCGGCCATGAACGTTGGTCACCAGTTTTTGCAACTTCATACCAAACGATCTCCCTATATGCTTAATATTATTTCTTACAGTGCAGATAAGCATATCTTGTACGTAAAAGCGGACACCTGAGCGCCGTTCATCCTGAAGCACTCCCTTTGGTAGTTGTTCGCCCAAGAACACCCAGAACATCAACCGCTCGACAAACCATGTCCATGAGCGTTCTACGGGATACACTCCCATGGGTCACTGTTCGCCCAAAACCCAGTACATTCGGGATCCCACCTCCCACGTGTCCCTGTTCGGCCCAAGAACACCCAGTACCTTCGTGCTACACCCTCCCACGGGTTAACTTTCTCCTTTAACACCCATTACCCTGCTCGACCACCAGTGTCAACCTGAACGTTCAGTGTCGTCCGTTCCGGCCTCAACCCGTTCGTCATTTGGTTTCATTCATCCCTGCTCGACCACTCGTCACGCACGTTCAGTGTCGGGCCAAAAAAAAAGTTCGGCGTCAAAAGCTTCGTCAGTTGGTTGCCTCACCGCTCGACAACCCATATGTTTGAGCATTCACACAGTCAACCGTTCGACCTTGCCCTCTGGATTCGATCGCTCGACAATCAATGTAGACGAGCGTTCAAACAATCGGCCGTTCGGCCTCGCCCATTGGATTCGAGCGCTCGACATTCAATTTGTACGAGCGCTCAATAAGTCGACCGCTCGGCCTCGCACTTTATCAATGAATACGAACGTTCAAACAGTCGTCCGACCTCCCTTCGGTTTCTACCGCTCGGGTCCATACATTCCTCACGTCGGCCTCACTCTTCTAGCTTTTTGCCATTAATCTCCACTCTTCGTGATCCCTCAAACTCCACTACTCGTTCATCCTTGATTTAAAACGTTCAATCACACATGAACGCAACCAGAAACACGCTCCCCAACACACAGCGAATCCAACCTCCTCAAACCCATACGTCCTATCGTTACCACGTCCATAAAACAGAACGGTAACTCGTACTTGGGGGTCAGTTATGTATTTGTTTTTAAAGTAAGATATTTTATATTTATTATAGAAAATATCTTAGATATTTTACAAAACGGTTGGGTTTACTTACCACATTTTTTGGTAAGGTGGTTCTTTTATTTTGGCTTATAATACAATGACCGGTCAAGTCGCAGGTCGTTATCTTTAATCTCTAGAGACTCTAGAATAATATCTCAGAGTCAGACCATAATTACTCTATGGTAGCTGAGGCTCCATATTTTCACATCTGACTTGAGCGTCGGAGTATCTCTTTTCAGGTACCCTCCCCCTCCTTTGGCAAGTATGAAGACCAACAATTGGAGAAGAGCAAGCGTCCCAGACAGCGTCCCAGACAGCGTCCCAGACAGCCAGGAACAATAAAGACACACCGGACAAATGTACACCGAAACAAACAATATTCAAACTCTAGATATTTTTTGTTAAGTAAGATGAAATACAAGTTGTTATTACTCAATGACTTCTTCACACTTTATATATATTATATATATATATATATATATATATATATATATCTATATATATCTATATATATCTATATATATATATCTTATATATATATATATATATATATATATATATATATTATTAATATATATTATAGAATAATAGATATCTATATATATATATATAGATATATAGATTAAAAATAAGAATATTTATCTTAACAATTCAAAATTGTTTAGTCTAATTTATAACTTTATTAAAGCATAAAACCTATATTTAAAAAACTTGATTTTTTAATTGAAAGTTTTCATAATTAAAGACAGTATATATAACAAAAAATATATACATATTATATATATATAATATATATATATATATTATATATATATATATATATATATATATATCTTAAAACCTTTTTCCTCTTCCTTGCATTTGGATGATTCTAGGATGAGTACACTGAGATTTTGCGGTGGATGGTTTGTTACCGTTTTCCTGAGTTCCCAATAGATGTGAATCTTGTTATACATTTGTTTTTATTAATGGTTCTTCCTCTTTTCTTCTCCATTTTGCAGCAACAATGTTCTATACCCTACAGAGGACAAGGAGAACAAGGTTCTTCTCCACACTTGCCGCTACTGCAATCATGAGGTCCTTCTTCTATCTCTCTTCCTTTCCATTTCTAATTTCTTCGACTATCTTTCCATGGCGTCCATGTTGCGATTCGTTTTTTTTTTTTCTAAACCCTAACTAGTTGTACTAGTGAATGATAATCTAGTCGTTTGGGAATGAAATTAGTATCATTTTGTTGCTTTTGAAGATGCCCTTAACCTTGAAAGACCTTGATGCTCTTTGGAGTTCCACATTGAAAAAGATAAGCTAACTGCCTTGATAGTTAAGCCTTGAAGTTCTCTACCTTAACTTCCTGTGATGTTGGATTAAGGTGCAAACTAAATATTAGCAGACGAGTGAAGGGCTACCACCGAGTTAGTTTGGACAAAGGTGAAGTTACTGTGGACCATGGTCCTTAAAGGGTGACAACTATTGGAATCCTCATTAAGTAAGCTAAACTTGTAAGTCTTGAATTATTCTAACTAGGAAGACTAATTTTTTTGGTATATCTCTCCTATTGAGCTTAAGTCTTAACATATGCCTTCAAACTGGAGATTGAATTTGGGAATCACTAATAGGAGTGACATTTCTTCTATTTTCCTGTTAGGTCCCGAGGAAAGCATCTCATACCGATTTAATGTGTCAAAGAGTCCTGTCTTCCTTTACTGACAATTGACTTGTATTTGCTAGGCATTTGACCTCTGTACAGGGCTTGCTTTTTTATTCTTACTTTTTTCCAGTTCAAATGCCATGCATTAGTGAATATATGTGTTTCAACTTCTAGTAAAAGACAATGAAGTATTCTTTGATATGTCACGTGTCTTATCATTGTTCCTAAGGCTTAAAAGTTACTTTGAAGTTATACCCTAAACGCTAAAATTTTAAAAGCTCCATTTTCAGAATCTTTCTTCATTTAAAAATGCTTATCTTGAAATTCTGTTTTCCTCAGCTTCTATTTTTATAAAGAGTAGCTCAAAATAAGTTGGGCAAGTTTGATTGATTATATACAATTCACCTATGGCAATGGCATTTGATGAACAAATCATTTTGGTGCTTGACTCGGACCATGAATCACCTGAATTCATGAAACCTCCAAATTGCATTTTGTGTGCTTCTATATGTATTATTTAGTTTTATATATTAGGTTTTAATTTTGATTATGAATTTCGTAATTCACGGTTTTGGATGCACAGTATGTAAAATAGATCTTTTGCAACTTGATTCACTACCATGTAAAATACTGAACCAGTAACGAGTGAAATTCTTTTTACTTATCTATCATACTATTCTTGTCATCAATTGGTGCCATGGAAATCAGATGTTTACACAACTGCACCAATTTTTGGAAACATATAAATCAGGGCAAGAAAGTCCTGTTCACCGTTGTTTTTCTGATGAAGATTATTTTAAGGGACCACATACAGCTATGATGTTATCAGTTAAGTACGGATATGCCTGTGTGATCAGTTTTTCTCTTTTTAGCAGGAGCGTGCAGATACTAACGTTGTCTATAGAAATAAGTTACATCACTCTGTTCAAAGGCACACTCGAGAGCTGGAAAATGTAGCTGCAGATCCAACACTTCCTCGCACCAAGTCTGTTCGCTGCTCTCAATGCAACCATGGAGAAGCTGTCTTTTTCAAGGTTAAGTCTTACTGACTATGGAAGAGAATATCTGTTTTCATGCTTATGAATAGAGTGTTAATTCCACATGATTAGGATTTCCATTGTGCATATTTTCAAAGACCACTGTGTATCCTGGCAGTGATGTCTCTTCCTCCTCGGTCATGCAACTTTATGACCAGTTCTATGGTCTGTACATCCATTGTTCCACCATCTGTGCTATGTTTTTTCCCCATGGCCATCTTGTGTATGGCCTCTCCTCAAGTTGTCTTTCTAGCTGTGGTTTAAGGAGATAAATATTTTTAGAATTCTTTTCCGGTTGCATTTTTAGGAGTTTTTTCAACTTTTGTATCCTGTTTATTTTGTAACAAGGTTGGATTTACTTGCTGTGTTAAAATAAATTTATATTTTCAATACCGAGTGAGTTTTTCTTGGCAATAAAAATTTAAAAATAATCAAATCCAAAACATTTATTTAAAGGTCTGTAAATAAACTCATGTTTGAGAGATCATGTTAGGATATATCCAGTATTTTAGAATAGCTTAGGACATCTTTAAAAAGATATATTTAAAACATATTGTTGAATCAATCATTCATCTGATTGACAAAGCTTGTATAAGTCATATTACACTAATACTTATTTATCAATACAAGTTTTTAAAGTTTTTGAAAGTTTCATTACTGAAATCAGAAGATGCAATATTATGACCAAATTTGGGATAATACATTTTACCCAATACTGACATTAGTTTTCTTTTGTTGTGTAAGAAGTCTTTTATATTTTATGGAAGTTACCTTCTGTATTGAAATGCTAAAATAGTTCCTTAGCACTGGACACTGGACAGAGAACCCCAATTAGGCGACTCCTATTATTTGTAAATATCCTTGAATTAAGCCATTTCATTCGAACATGCTATCTGCTCACAAATATTAATACATATATGATGTGTGGGTGAAAATGAGTTCATTGTAAACGCTCTTTTCATTGCAATTTAAAACTTCAGTCTGCATGTTAAGGAATAATGAATGTCTAATACATATTAGGATAAACATCTTGTTTCCACTATTCCTAACCAAAAGAATCATCTTCTTATCTTAATCCGTGATTAGAAATTCACCAAGAATCCATGTTTTAGTTAATTGGGGGTGTTCTGAAATTTCTGAATGTATGTAGGCAACAGCCAAAGGGGAAGAAGGCTCGGCACTCAATTTTGTTTGCTGCAACCCAACTTGTGGCAACCGTTGGAGAGAGTAGAACTCTTCATATCTTGCGCAAGTCAAGGTTTACGTTGGATAGGTGAGAAACTTTGTTTGTATATAAGAATTTACTTGTGTGAAGACGTTCACAATTAGTAGTTGTTCACCTTAAATTCCTTAATCAACTCTTGACTTGATTAATGGTCCAATACCTTAAATTTACATATTGTTTGTTCGAGTTCAAAGCATCTATGCAAGGCCAATCCGTTATTCAAAAAGCAAATAAATCTAACAAAAGTTGTGTCATGGACTTTATATTTGGATTTATCGAAAGGAATAACATGAATTAGTCTGAAACAAAATGATATTATTCTTTATGATTTGGATGATTTAGAATTAGGAGTGACCGAAATTGATAATTTTTTATCTCATTTACAAAAATAGACATATTGAACTCTATTTTATTAATTCTTATACTTTACTTTGCCCAGACATCTAAGTTTCAATTTTTTTTATAAACGCTTTTTTCTATTAGATTTGAGTTAATAATTTACATTAAATTCCAATAATTCATTAATCTTTTCTATAAATTTTATTAAAAGAGGATTTAGTTGATTTCAGTACGGCTAATTTTCGATTTTATGAATATGTTTTAGTTTTACAGTAGTTTTTCAATAAATGTTTAATTTTCTTTTATTCTAATGTATAACTGATGCCTAATTTTTCCTCCTCTTCCATTAAAGTCAGCGCCTGCTATTTTCTTAACATTTTACTTCGCACCTAATGGTGTAGAAGTGATATAATATTTTATTCTTTCATCTTTAATTTGGGCTTCATTTAGTTTTTTGTTCAAATTTATATTTCTTTGTTCAATTTTCTCTTCCATGATGTGGGAGGAATATAATTGTTTTCTCGATTGCACTTTCTTAAAGAGTGTGTCTATTGCAGCTAAATTCGTGCTGACGGAAGGAATGATGCAAAAAATTCACAACTTCAAAATTCTAGGGTTAAATTAGCAGTATTTATATACGCGAGATTTAATTTATACGAGAGGTTTAAATAACTTGGTAAAAAGCTTCAGAGCTATGTAAAAATTTCTACATAGCTATTTAAACTATTTTTTCAATTAGCAGATCCTATATATAAACATTTAAAACATGTGGCAAGTGAATTCATATGTTGTAGCAGCAACTTAGGTTAACTTGTTACAAGCTGTTGATAATATAAGATTACATAGATTACATAATGACGCAGGACAAGCAACCTGAAATTTTATTACATGAACATGCGCTTATTATAGTATACTATATTTATAGAGTGAAATAAGATTTTATATCTTTGAAACTAGTCATATTAAAATTAATATCTCTATTTTTTTTCCAGTACTTTTGCATTGAACATTTACCAACTATGTTTTAGAGATATTAATTTGAACATGAACTAATTTTGAAAATATAAAAAGGTTATTTATATGATAGGAGATTTTGATAATAAAAAGTGGTGTTTTCATTTGAAGTTTCCAAGGGTGCAGGCACCATTACCATCACCCTTGACTTTTAGGTTGGTGTTGTTGGTAATCCCAATTAGCTTTTGATTGTCTCCATTGAGAAGGGCAGCTGGAGAAGGTTGAAGAGGAGCAAATGGAGCACTGTTCATGTTGGGATTCCTTTGAGGATAACTGCTGTAACCTCCATCCATCATATCTGCAAACCCTCTTACAAAACCTGCCATCAGACCACCTGCGAAAAATTAACGACTAATCCAAGAAACTCTCTTTTGGTTTTTCCTTCAATTGCTGTGTATGGTGTTGAGGGATATTATTAGCCTTTTATAGATGCATGAAGAGAATTATAGCTACCTCTACTCTTGTTTTCCTTCTCTAATTGGCCACATGATAGTGATGCTTATAGCATCAATGCAAAGCTAGTATCTTCGTGGGGTTACAATATTCTCATATATCTAAATTTGTGATAACAACCAGAATGGTATATGCTGTCATAGAGCAAACTTATCCAACACACAAGAATCTGAACACCAAAACATTGACTTAAGAAATTTGTAAATTGTATAAAAGTTTTAATAAATTTAACTAGAATAAGTTATAAATGACATATACTTAGCACGACAATCTGAGGTGAGTCATGTGCATTTGTTTGCTAACTTCCAAGAAAAAGGCGGAGCAAGCTAGCTTGCTTAATTTACAATTTTTTTTATTATATTTTAATCTTTTAAGTTGGACAGAAATATTTTTTATATTTTATTTTGTTATTAATTTATTTTATGTTTGAATTCCTAAAGTAGTTTTTTTTGTCTGCATTCAGTATTGATTAGTTGTGATAGTTTTTTCTAACTTAGACAATCATTTATTTTATGTTTTTTTCATAAAAGATTTAAGTTTGAAATATTTATTTGATGTGGATCTTAATTTTATATTTACTTAATTTTTTTAAATTTTATTATCGATGATAGATTGATAAAGTATAAGAAAGATTTAAAACATTAAAATAAGGTTATTTTTTATTTTAATTTTTTTTATGCATATTGGTACCTAGGTCTATAAATGAGATCAACTAACAAAATTAAACCGTAATTTTTATGTGGGACTTACCGGTTTATATTATGATTCTTATATTTAATAAATAAGAATATTTAATTTTATTTTATTGATGTAATTGACATGACCTGGAATCCTTGTGTAACATCCCAAAATATAGTTGTAAAATCCCAAAATATAGTGATAACCATAATCAGAATTAATTACATTAATCATTAAAACAGTGCAGTCTTTACAAAAGATACGAGGTCCAAAACGTCGAACGGCTTAAGATACAAAATGTAATGTAGCCGACGGTATACAAATTCTAAGACTAAACAAAAATACTAACAGCTACCACATGTCGAGCACTCTAGGGCTCGACCTTAATCCCTACTTCAACCGGATCGACATCTTCCGAAATTTCTTCCGCCAGCGCCTCTTCCAGCAGCTCACTTCCATCTGCTCCCATCCACATGAATGATCATCGCAAGGACAAGACGGACGTACAAAGACAATCGACAACACAAAGAAGAGGACACAGGGTAAGCTTATTGAATTTAATTCAAGTAAAATCATTCATTTCATAGTACATCAACATATCAAATATTTCACAACATATAATTAAATCAATCCATTAACTCAAATCAATTCCTGATACTAGACTGACCGTCCGGACTGTATGAATCTGTGTAGCTACAGGCGTCCTTGCACCCGAGTGGTGTAGTAACTGTATTACACTCGACAGCTGCCACTCGAGGTTAGTCCGTTTCTTACGTCGCCCATGTTAACTTATGGACTAAGGACCTCCTGCCATTCCCACACATGAACCACTCTCCTCTACGTGAAGACGAGTGTCACGGAATATCAGGATGGACCAAGCCAGCATTAGCATGCCCACAGTCATACTTTACCAAATTCCACATTCAACATGTGTGAGTCGTTCCTCCCTGGAACGCTCGTACAACAATCATAACCATTTAATCATCTCATATTATGTTGGATATAGTCCCCCGGATAATTGATATCCATTTATAATAAATATTTTAATACTTTTTATAAATTAGGTATGAATATAGGTAGTGAAATTATGTCACCTTAATAGAACTAATATATTTGTAATTTAAAAAAAAAAACCCATATAAACCATTGACAAAGCAAATTGACCCATATAATTACAAAATCCAACGGAAAACTGTTAGTAACTTTATTATATTTTTTATAACTATTGTTTTTAAAATACCTATATGAGAAGAAACACAAAGTCAATTGACAACGTTTTTTTCTTTCGATAATTAAATTAGACGTAGCAATTTACGAACTATCACTCTCTCTCTCTCTCTCTCTCTCACTGGAATATATCTTCTTTCTCTCTCTTTCTCTGAACAACCAAATCAAGTATCGGACCCGGCCATAAGGAAACTGATGAGGTGAGTGATATTTTTTTAATTTTTTATTTTGTTTCAACTCTTTCAATCGTTCATTCCAAATGCTGATTGAAAAATGACTGGAAGGGATGTTGTGTAGGGTTTCGATTTGTTCGATTTACTTTTTCTTATCACTGTAGAATAATAACCCTATTTTCTTTTGATTTTCGTTAGTTTGTGAGCTGCTGTAATCACAGACGTTGGGTTTTCACAAATTGGAATTAGTTTTCGGAGAATATTGATGCCGCAGAGTTTATATATCTGTTGTTAAATTCAAATTTGAGGACGTATATGATATAGAACATGTCAAGTAAGAAGGAAGAGAAATCTCAGGCTGCAGCTGAAAGAATCAAGGCTGCTGCTCTGAGCGCGCTGCTAAGGGACTAGCCGTACCCAGGCTGAAAGAGGGCGGGCGGCCGCGGGCGTCCCGAAATTCAATGCTTATGGGCGAAGGAAGAAGGGCCTAGCAGATGGCAGGAGAAAAGAGAAGCTAAGAGGCAGATGTATTTGATGAGTACTGAGAAAGCTGTTAAATTGGGTGAAAGGAAAGACCTTAAGCCTGCAATGTCGGCTTCCGGTGGGGCTGCCCAGTGCCAAAAGTGTTTCCAAAGTGGCCACTGGACGTATGAATGCAAGAATGAAAGGGTTTACATTTCAAGACCTTCTCGGACGCAGCAACTGAAAAACCCTAAATTGAGGGTGAATGTGGCAGAGACTTATGATTTGGATGAGAGTGTTGCTGATGGTGCTAAGGAGGAAAATGCAAAAGCAAGTTCCAAACAAACCAAAAGGAAACATAGGTTTGACTCTGATTCTGGAAGTGATAGCGAGGATTCGGTTTTTGAGACTGATAGTGATAGTGGGTCATCGTCTGTTACGGGATCAGATTATTCTTCTGGAAGTAGTTCAGGTTACAGTTCATGTTCTGATTCAGAGGAAGAACGAAGACGGAGGAGGAAGAAGCAGAAGAGAGGAAGACGCAAGAGGTACAGTACATCATCAGAATCATCTGATTCTGATTCTGATTCTGCTTCAGACTGATTCAATAAAAGCAGCCGGAGAAAGAAGAGGCATAATCGAGACGCTGAATGAGACTTAAAGAATGTGTGCTGCACTAAGGATTTGGTGAGAAGGGGACAACCACGTCCATAGATACGATCATGAAGTTTCGGTAGATATGGTGCTTGTTTATGATGTCCTTAATGTAGAATAAGCTTTGGTAGATGCGAAGTTGTGTTTTTCTTTTTTCTTTTTTCTTTTGTCCCTATGCTCTCTTGAAGAGACC